TGTTCTGGGAAAGGCAGGCGGGGGTGCGGCCTGGGCCCTGGCCAGGGCCTGTCTCTGCCTCTTGTCTTCGGGGCCAGGAAAGTGTTGGCCGCAGTGAGGCCTGAGACCCCGGCCCGGCCCCAGCAGCCCATGCTCGCACCCCTGGCACCGCTGGCACTTGGGGTGACGCACTCTTTGTGGTGGGGCTGTCCCCGCAGCACCCCTGGCCTCCCCCACTAGATGCAGCAGCACCCCCTCCCCCAACAACCAGCCCCCAATCGCCCCCAGTTGAGAACCGCTCATCTGGACCCAGGAGCCCCAACCACCGTGAATGGCTTTGCCAGCTGCTGGCCCTGGCCTGGGGGTCCCGCCCCCCCTGGTTCCTGAGAGCATCGGGGTTCCCCTCCCCCTGGCAGGGCCCCCCTGAGTCCCGCCTCCCACTCTGCCTGGCGTTGGGCCAAGCAGGATGCACGCCCTGTGCCCGGAGACAAAACACCACACACAGGCCTCCCAACGCGGAAACCAAGTGGGGGGGGGGGTCAATGTCACTGGGCAGAGAGCAGGATTCGGGCAGGGCCGCGTTCCCCCAGGACCAGGACGGGGCGTATTTGTGGACTGTTCTCTGTTTTTTAATTTTTTATCGATTTCAGAGAGAGAGAGAGAGAGAGAGAGAGAGAGAGAAAGAGAGAAACACGGATGGATTGCCTCACATCAGGGATGGAACCTGAAACCTAGGTATGTGGCCTGACTGGGAATCGAACCCACCACCTCTGTGTACCGGACAACACTCCAAACCATTGTGCCACACCGGCCAGGCCAAGGCCCCCTCTCCTCCGGCTCCCAGAGCAAGGCAGCCCACCTGGGCGCTCCCGTGGCTTCTCCTGTGCTCAGCCCTCCCTGTGTCACTGGTCCCAGCGGTAATAAACGGTCCCTCGGTCACCTGGACTCGCGTGTGACATCTTTCCTGTGTGGAGTCAGGAACCCACACACCACGGGCCGGGCCGAGGCAGACCCCCACGGGCCGGGACCACAACCCTCACTCGTGGCCTTGGTACCCGTGATGTTGGCAGCGAAATGGCACCAGCTGTGACCAGCCACGTCGGACCCAGTTCTGGAGTTCGGCAAAGAAAGAATTCAGAGCCAAGAGCTCCACTGAGAAGTGAACGTTTATTTTAAAAGCTACAGAGGGAGAAAGCAGCAGCCAGCTGGGCTTCGTGGACTCGGGAAACACGTCTCAGAAGCAAAAGAAGGGGCTCGAAGCTTAGCGGAAAGAGCACATGGAAAGAATATTCCAGCCTGGCCAGCGGGGCTCAGTGGTTGAGCGTCGACCTGTGAACTGAAAGGTCAGGGGTTGGATTCCCGGGCTGTGGGCTCGGTCCCCAGTGTGGGGCGTGCAGGAGGCAGCCGATCTCATCATTGATGTTTCTCTCTCTCCCTTCCTCTCTGAAATAATAATAATAAAAGAATATTCCATC